CCATGCTGATCTAAAGAAAACACTTCAACATCAGCCATGCTGATCTAAAGAAAACACTTCTAACGTCAGCCATGCTGATCTAAAGAAAACACTTTAACATCAGCCATGCTGATCTAAAGAAAACACTTCTATTGTTAGCCATGCTGCTCTAAAGAAAAAGCTTCTAATGTCAGTTTTGCTGATCTAAAGAAAACACTTCTAATGTCAGCCATGCTGATCTAAAGAAAACACATCTAATGGCAGTCTTGCTGATCAAAAGAAAACACCTCTAATATCATAATAATGGCTGGAGATGGCCTGATGATGACAAAACATTGTCGAAACGTTGTACATTTGCTGTTATGTTAAACTTATATTAAAGTTTTTCTTCATTACCCATTCAAGCTGTCTCCAGCCATTATTAGTCTCAAAGTGGGTTCCTCATCATCAAACTTCTAATATCAGTCTTCCTGATATAAAGGAAGGCAATAAAGCTCAAATACATATTTCTTCAGTCATGTGGTGTATCATTTTTAATTAACATGAAATATGATATCATAAACTAAACTAAAAGAAAGATATTTCACAGAAATGCATCTTTTCACATGTACCTTCAACCTTGATAGTACAAGTTGATACAGCTTCTCCAGCTTCATTCACAGCTCTACAAGTGTAGATACCTGAATCTTCAGGTCTTATTCCATAGATATCCAAAGTCACATGACCAAAGTCAAATGCTGTTCTTATTCTTGTGCCTGTATAAATTCAAATAACAAAAAGTAAACACATTTTTTCTATCCTTGTGAGAAATATACACACAGATCTGCAGAGAGGTGATGAATATTTAAAACCACATGCTGTGAATTTAGTGCCCTAATAGCAATAGCAAATGATAAGGCAATGGGACATAATGTTCTCACCAAAACAAAGTGTTTAGTCACTCACAAGTTGCTGTTTTGGAATATATTCAGTACCAACACAGCATGAAAAATGATGTAATCTGTCAAGTTTTTTTTTTAGAGGCCACAATTTTTTAAAGTAGCTGTCTGCAACTTGTTGGCAATAAATTTCAACAATAAGTGGACAATACACAATCCACTTGTTTTAAAATAATATATATTCATGAAGCAATTGGATATTTTTGAGGGAATTTTACAACTGCTTCAGTATGTTTAGCATTTTAAAAGAGTCTAATAAAAAGGTTATAACAATTTTCTGAGTTTTGAATGAATATATACATGAAGAAATAGTGAAGTAAAGATGCCTGTATTATGAAATAGGGTCAAGAACTAGAAAGTACAGCTAGCTGTTAAGTGGTATTGAGAATCGCGAGTTAGTGAATCATGACTTAAGAGTTATAAAAAAATGAAGTGACTGGCTAGCAATGAAGTAGATGCACTGGCATAGGTGACTGGCAGTGATTAATTACTGATGCCAACTCGTAAGTACTGTGGAAGCTATGAAAAAAGTTGAAACCCGTTAACATGCAAAAACGATACTTTGATGATATATTCCTTACACAATGCTGGTGTATTAGCACAAGTGAAAAGACAGCCAGCTACCTCACCATAACAGTAACCAATCACTTGAGAGTTTTTGGTTATGGTTTTGGACTGGCCCAGGAAGTTGCACGAATCGACCAATAAAGTGTTAGAACAACTTGCGGGTAGTTAGGAACACTATTTGGAAGTTCGACAGAATACAATGAAATATGGGTTAAAAACTCATGTCTGAAGCCGAAAATCAGTTTTTGTTGAGAATTTAGCTCTTGTTTCAGAAATCGTCAGTGAGTTCTTAAAGTTCTTCACTATGAATCTGAAGGTTTCTAACCTCCAAAAGTATACTGGCCCTGCTCTGTTGTAAGTGTAGAATTATTATCTCTCTTGATCTATTAATGTAGTGAGTAGTAAAGGATATTCATGTTTAGATTAAAGAAATATATTCTATATGTACTAGTTATTGATACTGAAACGTAATAGTAAAAGTTATGAAAAGTTAATGCTTAATATTGCATGCTATGTGGAAAAGTTTAATAAATGTTGTTATATTTGTTCAATGTTAGTCTTGGACTCTAACTGTAAATTACCTCGAGTTAGTGACATGTGTGCTCCACTCACCACTGCAAATCCTCAACTAAATAAATTTGGTGTAATTGGCAGTGTAATTGAAACTCCAACAATTTGCCCTATGGGCACTGCCTGTTAAATTCAAAACAAGTCAAACATATGTACAAAATTCATTACACTATTATTTATCACAGTTCAATAGAGAACTTTAAATAATTCTCTTTTTCATCAAAAGTACACACAGGTTGGTTCAATTACTTTAGAACACAATTGACAAGACGAATTATTCTTCTTTATCTCTGTTATTACAATACAAACTGTGAAACTCTCACTATATAAATTGCCTGTTAAGGTTAAACTAACAATCACACACTAACTTCATTTTTACTTTCACAAACTTACATTAATTTCTATATCTGCACGTATTTATAACACACAACAGAAAAATCTAGAAATATCTAGCCCTCTAGTAACAACAATATTAAACATAATGAGAAAAATTTAGAAGCTTTGAGCAAGATGATACCAACAATATTACAAAAACCTAGTACAACAATTAAACTACATACACAACGTGCGACTTGCACAGAGTTAAGTAACAAAACCTGTCATAATTAACGCTTTTAAAATAATTAACTTATAACTCTTGTTATAAAACATTGCCCAGTCCCCCAATGCTATCCAGAAATATCATGAAGAGTTTAAAGAAAGATCACTGTGACTGGCACCAAGCTTAGAGTTTCAAGACAAATTATGTACACCAAGATGAAACTTTACAAAACCTGGAGAAATGTTTCTAGTAGATTTTTCCAAAAGTTTTACCTTTAATATAGCACAACTGAAACTATAAGGTTCTTCACAATACCATCACTAATAAACAAACTGCAATGATTTTCTTATGGTGTATCTGCATGGTAACCTTTCAGACAATGAAAAATTATGGCAAGTTGAGTTGCTTACAAAACTGAATACCTCTTAAAACAACATCCTCTACATTCACTTCAGATGTGTGGACTGCATTGTACATCCTTTCCACCATGCCTGTTTCAGTTGCTACGCAGTCAAACAAAGCAATCCAAAACTATCAACTTTAGTGTCGAATAAAGAACTGAAGACTTGCATTATCTAAATATGTTTCATTTTGCTTTGATCACATCAGTTTGTGAGAAGAAAGGAAGGCCATAATTTCTATTAGTGGATCTGAATATTTATATTATATATATTAGGTCATCAATAAATTAATATTGCATTTTCAAACACTTTCATTAACCACCCCCAAAAAACTTACATCATGTATAATGGTTAAAAAAACCACCTATACATCACGTTAGTGTAGCCTATATAATGTGTAGAGTTTAGTGTACTCTAATCCATTATAGTGATGGCACACGATGAGACACACATTCGGCATGTAATGCTGTTTGAATACAAGAAAGGAAACAATGCCTTTGTAGCAACAAAGAATATCAAAGAAGTTTATGGAAATGTTTTGAACGTTTGTATGTGTAAATGATGGTTCAGCAAATTTCATTCGGGTGACTTTAGCCTTAAAAAGGCAGAGACCGACATGTTGGAATTGATATTGATGCTCTGAAGATGCTTGTTGAGTCTAACCCAAGGCCACACATTCATGAAATGGTCCTGAAATTGCATGTCTCTCA